TGTAAATAATTTATTTAAAATTTTAATATCTAAGTTATTATGTTCATACCATGGTTTAAATTAATTGTCTGTTAAATTTTGGGCATTGAATTATTATTGTGTGACATGTATAATGTTTTATGTTGGGAGTTTTTTTTTTGTTGGTATAACATTATTGGTGATTGAGATTTGAATAATTTGCGTTTAATATATAAAGTTACTGATAAAAGATAAATACCGAGTATTCAGGGTGAGCCCTGATTTTTAATAATTTTTAAGTAAATTGTGTCGCGAAACCCTAAGATAGCACGGGAATTATTTGAACCCTTATCGGTATTTGGTTTTGGAATAAGGGTGGATGTGCGGGTGGCACGCAAGGAAGTTGCGTACCCCTGGCAGACCGCTTCCTTGGGGTAGACCACGGATGTCACGGCTTGGGTATATAACTCCAGGCGTGGGCATCTTTGGTAGTTCTTGAATATTTGACCAAGGGGGGGGGTTTCCAAATTAACCGTGGCCATGACTTAGTGGTTGGTAAGTTAAACCTCTTTGGCGAGATTTCAAAGGTCACCTAAGTTATTAAAATTATTTGAATTATTTTATTGGTTGTAATTTATGTTTACAATTATATTATTATCTCGTGTTATGATCTCATTATTTTCTCTCAAAAAGAATTGTAGGTTGGTTATGTTTTCTTACTGTGTTGCAAAACTCATAGCATATATTTTGTTGCCCTGGCATTTCATGCCAGATTATGTCGAGGAAGAGACTGAGGCTGAAATTGGAGCTGCTGCTAATATCGAACCTTGGCTAACTTAGAGTTAAGATTTTATCAAAATAAAATCCTGTTATTTCTTGTATTAGTGTTTAACTATGTTGTGACGTTGTGTGTGAACTTGTAGTTTTATTTTGTTATTAGACTTTGACTATGTAAGAATTTAAAATTTCCTAATTAGTAGTTAAAATTTTATCTAGCAAGTTATTGTTATTTAAATCTTATGACGTTTCAAAAAAAATTTGGGGCGTCTCAGTTGGGTATCAGAGCCTAGGTTTGAACCTTTGGGCCATGGGTAGTAAATTATTATTTTTACGTTTAAGAAAACCTTACGTTAATTTGTAATTTTCGGTGACTTAACTAAGTTAGAACCTTTTAATTGTAGGATGCCAGGGTCATCAGACATTAACTCTAACGAGGAAAATTCGGTGGAAAACTATGACATAGAATCTGACCCAAGTGAAGAAGTGGAGATGCCTATAGAAGACTATGAATCTGAGCCTGAGCTTGACCCTGAACCTGATCTTGAACTTGAGCCTGAATATGAGCCCGAAGAAGTTGTACCAATATACAACCCCCTGGAGGTCATTGTGATTGAGTTAGACACTGAAGATGAGTCTATAGAAGGCAATACTAAGGAGAGCACTGGAGATGTAGGAGCCACGTTTGAGGGTTGGGATATGCAAAACGGGTTGCAGATTGGCTCTTTTGTATATGTCTGACTTTATCCCCTAGGAGGGTGTGCTTGGAAAGCTAAGAGTTGGGTGGGTACCTATACCGGACTTGTCCAGATTCTAAGACAAGAGACTCCCTGGGTATATCAATTAGGCCCCCTCCCAAATGGTTTCACCGATAGGGTGGGCGACCTTTTTGACTTTTGGAGCCTTCAGTATATCATGCCCGACCTAAGCAGAATTGTGAGGAGAAATGGGTCAGTGGACTTCAGAGACTGGAGGACCTATCGGGAGGAGCCGACGCAGCTGCTAGGGCATCGTGTGTGCGAAACTGCTATCTTCGTGAGGGTGCTGTGGCGATTCATGGGGCTTTTTCAAGCCACATGGGAGCCGAAAGCCCTTGTGTGGAGAGACTTTCCTTGGCTATTTTAAGGGGTCTTAAGGGAATTATAAACTAGGCTAACCGATTGTTTTGTATGCTCACATGTAAAATTGCCTAGTTTAGAATTGTGAGTGTAGGAGTTAACTCGGATTGTAGGGGCTATCTTTTGCCCGTAGTATGTTATTTAATCTTTTCCCTTGTTTTATTTGTATTTTGCTAATTGTAACTTATCTAATCCAATTAATGAAGTTTTTTTTTTACTATCCTTGCACATAATAATAATAAATAAATAAATGAACAAATCACGAATTACTAAAGGAAAAAAAAAATCCCATCACGCAGAATGGCTGGATGAACAAGAAATAATAACAACGGTAATGGTGATGGAGTGTCTGATGGCGATGTCGTTCGAATTATACCCGCGATTGCTGATAGGGTAAGCAATATACCACCCCGAAACCAAGATCAAAACAAATCAGAAATAATAGCAAAATTTGAAAAGCTACGTCCCCACAAATTCCTTGGTGGATCAAACCCCCATGAAGCTGAAGCTTGGTTAAGACAAATTAAGAAGTTGCTAGATACTTCTGACATCCAAAATGAACAGGATAGAGTGACCATGGCGGCATTTCAAATGGAAAGGGAAGCAGATCATTGGTGGGAAATGATCAAAAGTACTCGACAAGTAGAGACATTAACTTGGAGACAGTTCGAAGACCTGTTCATGGAAAAGTATTTTCCTAACTCGCTAAGACAAGAAATGATTCAAGAGTTCCTTCAATTGAAACAAGGAAAAATGTCAGTCGCTCAATATGCGAACCGTTTTGAAGCTCTTTCACGGTACGCTTCAGCCTTAGTAGCAAATGAAGAGGATAAGGTTAGGTGATTTGAATGGGGTTTGGACACAGACATTAGAGGAAGATTGATTGCAGTGCAACTTTCCACCTACGCTCAAATGGTGGATCGAGCTTTAATTGTGGAGCGAGAATTAGCAGATTCCGAACGCACTCGAAATCAACGATCAAGGAACAATAACCAACCACGCGGGGGAGGTCCAGTTCGCAACACCAAAAACCATCCCGCACCAGCACCTTATGCCGGAGGGATGCAGCAGCAACAAAGGCAGAATCGAGGAAACCACCAAGGAGGAAACTTTATAAATGAGTGGAAAGGAAGATGTTTCAGATGTGGTCAACAGGGGCATCGTCGAAGTGAGTGTCCTCAAGGTGGGGAGTATTTTATGGATCAGCGAGGGGCACAACAATACAACAAATGCCAACTAGGGCAAGGTTCTAAGCCTACTCAAAATACTCAAACCAACAAGGGGTAGCCCCAAGCCTCTAGGAATGCAGGCCGACCAAGAACACAACCACAAGGCGCTGGGAATGGAAAGAAACCAGGAGGGACTAACCAACAGACATTAGTGAGAATGTATGCTCTCCAAGAAGAAGAAGATGTTGATAACCCATCGGTAATTCAAGGTATGTTAATCCTTATGAATTCTTGGGTTAAAGTATTGTTTGATTCTGGAGCTTCGCATTCTTTTATATCCACTGCATGTGTGAAAAGTTTGGGTTTAGAGCCAGAGACGCTAGAGATAGCTATGAGTGTCGCTTCACCCTTAGGAGGTCAAACCCGAGTAAATCTAGTATGTAAATCTTGTGAGCTAGAAATCTCCGGTTCATATTTGATCTGTGATCTAAGAGTTATGGATATGTCTGATTTTGACATCATCCTAGGAATGGACTGGTTGTCAGTTCATCGAGCCATTATTGATTGTTACCGTAAGACAGTGACAGCATCTCCCCTTAACGGCACGGAAGTTCAATTTAAAGGAGATAGACAAGATTCTCTAACTCCAACGTGTCGCAAGTCGCGATGGCATGATCAACTAACCAGATGGTTGGCAAGCCTAATTTTGGAAGACAAAAATCGAAAGGATCCAGGATTACCCCATGTGGTGTGTGAGTACGCTGACGTTTTCCCTGATAAATTACCGGGATTACCCCCAAAGCGAGACGTAGATTTCACGATTGAGTTTCAACCTGGGACTTCACCGATTTCAATAGCACCACATCGTATGGCGCCAGCTGAACTTCGAGAATTGAAGGAGCAGTTGCAAGAACTGTTGAATAAAAAGTTCATCAGACCAAGTACGTCTCCTTAGGGAGCGCCAGCATTATGCGCGAAGAAGAATGATGGAACCTTAAGATTGTGCGTCGATTATCGACAACTAAATCGAGTCACCATTAAAAATCGATATCCCTTACCCAGAATTGATGACTTGTTCGATCAATTAAGAGGTTCAAAATGTTTTTCCAAAATTGACCTTAGGTCGGGATATCACCAACTTCGTGTCAGAGGAGAAGATATACCCAAAACTGCGTTTCGAACCCGTTATGGCCACTATGAGTTTGTGGTAATGCCATTTGGTTTGACGAATGCACCTGGGGTATTCATGAGTTTAATGAACAAAATTTTTACACTTTATTTGGACCAATTTGTGGTAGTATTCATTGACGATATTTTGATATACTCACAATCGGAGGAAGACCACGAGCAACATCTGAGAACCGTTTTGCAAATTCTAAGAGAGAACCAATTGTATGCTAAAGCTAGAAAATGTGAATTTTGGTTGAAGGAAGTAAAATTCTTAGGTCATGTTGTGTCTGAATCAGGAATATCAGTGGATCCTGCTAAAGTAGAAGTAGTAATGGGGTGGAAACAACCTAAAAATACGTTTGAGATTCGTAGTTTCTTGGGATTAGCAGGTTATTATAGGAGATTCATTCAAGATTTCTCCAAATTAGCCAAGCCGATGACACACCTAACTCAAAAAGGAGCAAAGTTTGAATGGAACGAAGTGTGTGAGTAGTCATTTCAAGAACTCAAGAAGAGACTGACAAGCGCTCCTATATTAATCATACCCGAACGTGATGTTGGGTACACTGTTTATTGTGATGCCTCTAAAGAAGGGTTAGGTAGTGTGTTAATGCAAAACGGGAAGGTAGTAGCTTACAGATCAAGACAATTGAAGAATCATGAGAAAAATTATCCTACTCACGATCTGGAGTTGGCGACTGTGGTCTACGCACTTAAGACTTGGCGACATTACCTTTATGACGAAAAATTTGAGATATTTACTGATCACAAAAGCTTGAAGTACTTGTTCACACAAAGAGATTTGAACATGAGGCAGAGACGCCGAGTGGAGTACCTTGAAGATTACCAATTCACATTGTCTTATCATCCCGGGAAGGCTAATGTTATAGTAGATGCACTAAGTCGAAAGATAAGAGAGATTGTAGCCAACATATCAATTAAAGAATGGGAAATGGTAAGCACCGTGAATGAGTTTAAGTTATAACCAGAGACTCAGAATGGGAAGGGTAGGTTGTTTACAATAGTTACAACACCCCAACTTCTTACCAAAGTGTTGGAAGCCCAAAGATTTGATCAGGAGGCGGACTTCATCAAGGCCCGATTAGTGTCCGGGGAATCTTTACCGGATTGGATGCTCCATCAAAATGGTAGTTTAAGGTATTTAGGTAGAATTTTTGTGCCAAACATCGAATAATTAAGAGAGGAAGTACTTAAAGAATTTCACCATTCGGTTTTTGCGGTTCATCCGGGAGGAAACAAGATGTACCAGGATCTTAAGCGACAGTATTGATGGAGTGGAATGAAGAAGGACGTTGCTCAATTCATATCTAAGTGCTTGACGTGTCAGCAAGTGAAGGCAAAACATCAAAAGCCGGCAGGGAAACTCCAACCTTTACCAATACTTAAGTGGAAATGGGAACACATAACAATGGATTTTGTAACGGGATTACCCCGGTCGCCGCAGGGCCATGATTCCATTTGGGTGGTGGTTGATCGGTTAACTAAGACGACACATTTCCTACCAATAGGACCAGCAGGCACACTCGAATCTCTAAGTCGATTATTTATTCGAGAAATCATTAGATTGCACGGAGTACCAGTCTCAATAGTGTAAGATCGTGATTCTCGTTTTACGTCACAATTCTGGCAAAGTCTGCAAAAAGCCTTGGGTACAGAGTTGTGTTTTAGTACAGCTTTTCACCCTTAAACTAACGGTCAATTAGAAAGAACAATTCAGACTTTAGAAGACATGCTTCGAGCTTGTGTGATGGACTTTAAGGGTAGTTGGGAGAAACACTTACCACTAGTCGAATTCTCTTACAATAACAGTTTTCAAGCAAGTATTGATATGGCACCGTATGAAGCTTTGTACGGACGGCCTTGCCGGTCACCAATATGTTGGACAGAAGTCGGAGAAGCACCTCTTTTAGGGCCAGAGTTAGTTCAAGAAACTACCGAGAAGGTGAAAGTAACTAGGCAAAGGCTTGGACTGCTCAGAGTAGGCAGAAAAGCTATGCAGATCAAAGGAGAAGACCTTTAGCATTTAAAGTTAAAGAGCATGTGTTTCTGAAAATACAGCCCCGCCGAGGAGTTGTTCGTTTCGGAAAGAAGGGAAAATTGTCACCTCGCTACATTGGGCCTTTCGAAATCTTGGACAAAATAGGAGAAGTGGCATACCGTTTGGCTTTACCACCTCAATTGGCTGAAGTACATAATGTTTTCCACGGCTTTATGCCACAGAAATACGAGCCACACTCTTCTCACATCATCAATTGGGAGGAAATTAACATTGATGAAGACGTGACATTTAAAGAAAAGCCTGTCAAAATTTTAGATCGTCACGAGAAGAAATTACGAGGTAAAACTATACCGTTGGTTCGAGTTCTCTGGAGACATCGTGGGACGAAAGAGTCAACGTGGGAACGAAAAGATATGATACGTGCCAATTACCCTCAACTTTTCGAGTCTAAAGGTACGAATTAATTTCGAGGACAAAATTTTCTTTTAGGAGGGTAGATTGTGAAAACCCATCTTTTAATTATTCTTTAAAGAAAATTTATTAATTAATTTTGTCTACAGTCTATCTGAATTATACATTAGTGTAAAAGTTAGTTTTAAATTGACTCAATTCAATCACTAACAAGACATTATTAAGAATAATAATTTTGTGGGTGTTCAATATTTGTTGTTTATAAATTATTTTAATAGTTTTAAATTAACCCAATTCTATCACTAACAAAGACCTTATTAAGAATAAAATTTTTGTAGATGTTCAATAATTATTGTTATAAATTATTAGTAAAAAGAAAAAAAGAAAAAAAATCAGATTCGGTGGCAGAATATGCCACATGCTAACTTGCATGTAAGCTTGGTAAATTTCACCACATCATGACTCTTGGGTGGAGTAGATTTGTGGCAGAGAATAACAAAGAGAGAGAGAGAGCGAGAGAGCTCTGCCTATATATACCCAAGAAGGACTAAGCTTATTCTCACATACAAACAAAAGAAGACAGAAGTATATACGGGTGAGGGGAGATTCAGTAGAAGGAAAAGAAGAGAGGAAGGTTAAGGAAGCAAAATTTTTCTACCATTTCATCACCCATTTGAATCCTACTATTAAGTAAGAAAACCCTCTCAACCCTCTTATTTCTTTTTATTAGTAAAGTTTTCAGATTATATCCTTGTGATTAAAATAACTACTCATAAATAGAAATTTTATATATATATATATATATATGTGTGTGTATGAAAATTTATGATGGTATATCAAATATTGGTAGTCTAAAAATCATGATAATGTTGTGGAATTTAGACTTGCATGTGTAGTTTATACATTTAAAGAGAAGATTGAAAATAATTAATCTGTTTGAATCTGTCAGAATGTTGCCCGAATTTTTAGACCATTTTATACTCAAAATTTCGAGATGATTTCTTCTACAAAGTTGTTGATAATGATGTCTAGTTCATCCAATAATTTTGGCAACAATTTTTGAGTTTTCTACGAATTTATACAAAATTTTAACTAAATCTGAAACTGTGTTGAAAATAATATGTTTTGAATCTGTCAGAATGTTTCCCGAATTTGTAGACAATTTTATACTCAAAATTTCGAGATGATTTCTTCTACAAAGTTGTTCATAATGATGTCTAGTTCATCCAGGAATTTTGGCAACAAATTTTGATCTTTATACGAATTTATACAAATTTTTAACTAAATCTGAAACTGTGAGACAGATTTTACTATGTATTTGAAAATTTATTTAAAATTCTATACTAAGCCAAATCTGGTAATTTCTAACTAAAAGATGAAATTTAAGAAGTCTAATTTCATGATAAATTTTTAGATTATGGATTTGATCTATAAAATTAAGCATGGAATTAATGTAAGGAAATGTGACAAACCTGTGTCATAAAGATTGCTGGAAATTTTACAGGATTATTTACATCCTATTTTTCTGAAATTCTTTCTGGAAAATGACCTAAACATCCCTTTTGAGTATTCTGCTCAATTGCACGAATTTTAGGATTGTGTAAATAATTTATTTAAAATTTTAATATCTAAGTTATTATGTTCATACTATGGTTTAAATTAATTGTCTGTTAAATTTTGGACATTGAATTATTATTGTGTGACATGTATAATGTTTTATGTTGGGAGTTTTTTTTTTTTGTTGGTATAACATTATTGGTGATTGAGATTTGAATAATTTGCGTTTAATATATAAAGTTACTGATAAAAGATAAATACCGAGTATTCAGGGTGAGCCCTGGTTTTTAATAATTTTTAAGTAAATTGTGTTGCGAAACCCTAAGATGACACGGGGATTATTTGAACCGTTATCGGTATTTGGTTTTGGAATAAGGGTGGATGTGCGGGTGGCACGCAGGGAAGTTATGTACCCCTAGCAGACCGTTCCCTTGGGGCAGACCACGGATGTCACGGCTTGGGTATATAACTCCGGGCGTGGGCATCTTTGGTAGTTCTTGAATATTTGACCAAGGGGGGGTTTCCAAATTAACCGTGGCCATGATTTAGTGGTTGGTAAGTTAAACTTCTTTGGCGAGATTTCAAAGGTCACCTAAGTTATTAAAATTATTTGAATTATTTTATTGGTTGTAATTTATGTTTACAATTATATTATTATCTCGTGTTATGATCTCATTATTTTCTCTAAAAAAGAATGGTAGGTTGGTTATGTTTTCTTACTATGTTGCAAAACTTATGGCATATATTTTGTTGCCCGGGCATTTCATGCCAGATTATGTCGAGGAAGGGACTGAGGCTGAAATTGGAGTTACTGCTAATATCGAATCTTTGCTAATATCGAATCTTTGCTAACTTAGAGTCAAGATTTTATCAAAATAAAACCCTGTTATTTCTTGTATTAGTGTTTAACTATGTTGTGACGTTGTGTGTGAACTTGTAGTTTTATTTTGTTGTTGGATTTTGACTATGTAAGAATTTAAAATTTTCTAATTAGTAGTTAAAATTTTATCTAGCAAGTTATTGTTATTTAAATCTTATGACGTTTCAAAAAAAATTTGGGACGTCTCAAGTGCTGAGGACTTGGGTGGATTGTTGACGATGTAATTGGGCTGAACTGACTGGCCGACTTGCTTATCCTACTTCTCAGGTCTTTAGTCTAATGGATTGGGTCGGCCCAAGGCTATGATCCAACCCATTTCATATTTAGCCCCTTCAGAATTAATTCCTTTTTAACAAATTTTTTTATTTTATTTTATTCAGAACAATCTACTAATTACTAAATACACAAATTTTTTTAACAATTTTATCATTAAAAAAATTAAAAAACAATTGTCAAATGCTCACAGTTTTATATTACTATATTTTCTTTTTCTTTTCCATTTTAAATTTGTTGTACTCACAATCAGAAGGACTGGACCTATCAAATTAAAAAAAATAAAAAATTGGGCATGAAACGTATGGGCTTCAATAGTTGATCTTGAATTTTGAAATTAATATTTTTTTTATAAATTAGAAATATAATTTTTGAAATTTATTTAAAATATAAAATTTATTTTTATAATTTTAAAAATTATAAATATTTTATTATCAATTTTTTATTTAACTGAATTAACAAAAAAATCACCAATTTTCTATACAGTAATAAAATAACTTAAATTGTTAATTAAAATTTATTTATTTAATTATTAAAATTTATTAATTAATACAATTGAATTTTGAAGTGAGAAAATGTAATTTTTAAAAGTATATGGAACAATTTTATTTTATTTTGCTTTCAATTTGACATTCTGAGACATTTTTCAATGAAGTATGTACACATAAACTCCAGAGAGTCCAGCCATGGCTTCCACCCATTTCCTCTGCAGTCACCACCACCTCTACCCTTGTTCCAATGCTAGAAAAAGCCCTCTTTCTTCTTCTTCATACAGGCCACATGGGTCTTCTTCTTCTTCTTCCCATAAAAAATATCAATCTCAAAGAATTCAATTTATCAGAGCCATGGCTTCTTCTGATTCCAAAGCTGGTAAAAAACAAATAGAGGTACTTCTCTCTCCTCTTCTGTTATTATTGTTTAATTTGAAATATTTAAAAGTTTTTTTTTTCGCTTGTTATTGAGAGTACACAAAATTTTAGGGTTTTTTTTTTTTTTGGTTTGTTTTGGTTGGTGGGCTGTTTATATAGATAGTGTATGATCCTGATGAGAGGATAAACAAATTAGCTAATGAGGTGGATAAGAATGCTGGACTTTCAAGGCTCACTCTATTTTCACCTTCCAAGGTAAGGTAATCAAAATCTATTAAATGCTTCAGAGTGTTATTAAGCTTTAATTTGTTTGGGGTTTCGCTAACAAGTGCTCACAACTTTCATTAATTTCAAAACACTTTTCATTGATTTTAATTTTGTTTTATTAAAACTTTTCCACAATTGCCAAAGCACACTTTACCCAAATTCCAATATTAAACAATGCCTAAAGGCACTTGTTAGCATTTGTCAATTAGTTGGGCTATTTTTTGGGGATTTGTTTCGACCATGATATCCATTGAATGAGGTGCAGATAAATGTTTTCTTGAGAATAACCAGCAAGAGGGAAGATGGGTTTCATGAGTTGGCATCTCTCTTTCATGTAAGTTTTTCTGCCAATTCCAATGATACTTTTCAGCTTCAAACTCTTTAACCTTGGCTTTGATTATTATCAAATTTATATTTAAGTAAATATGAAGAGGAAGAAGAACCATCTATTTGTTGCACATGCTGAATAGGGTAATAAGACCAGGGTTTTCCTTCATTATTGGATTGGATTTATTGGGTGTTTTTGCTTTGCATTAATTTCTTCTAGTCTCTTCTTAACTATACTGTTAACCCCTTCCTTTGCATCTCCAGATAATAAGCCTGGGCGATAAAATTAAGTTCTCTCTGGCCCCTTCAAAATCAAAGGATCGGTTGTCAACCAATGTGCCTGGAGTTCCGCTAGATGATAAAAATTTGGTAAAAAAAATAAAAAAAACTTGGTTGCATTCTATGTATTGTCTTATTTATGTTCTTTCTTTTACGAGCTCCATGCTTTGCAACCACTTATGCTTTGCAGATCATCAAAGCCCTTAATCTTTACAGAAGAAAGACCAGAACTGACAACTTCTTCTGGGTGAGAAACCTAACAACATTATGGATGAACTAATTTATTTGTTTAAAAGAACAATAATTATATCTTGGATGTGATTTGGTGTTTGTTTTCCATTTAAATCTGTGGACAGATTCATCTTGACAAAAGGGTTCCCACTGGTGCTGGTCTTGGCGGTGGAAGCAGCAATGCTGCAACTGCTCTATGGGCAGCAAATCAGTTCAGTGGTTGTCTTGCTACAGAAAAGGAACTCCAAGAATGGTCAAGTGAGATTGGCTCAGATGTTCCGTTCTTTTTCTCTCATGGAGCAGCCTATTGTACCGGTAGAGGTGAGGTATGTCTTCAAGTAAACTGATGCAGCTCAAGATTGTCAGGTCTTGGCTTTTCAGTTTCCATGTTCATTTTTCACTATCCAATTAAAGTCCGAACCAGTATATCCACCTAAATGTCTTTAAGATCTTTCTTAAGTACTACTTTTTTTGCTGTCCTTCAAAACCCAGTATTTTGGAGTTGAATTGCTTTGATTTGATTTATAGCATTGCTGGTGACAATATTTTGAAGTTACAACCAAGATGATGTATTCAGGTTGAGTAAAGCTAGTGTGAGCGGGTTATAATGGGTGAGTATTGAGAAATATTGGGAGACTGTCTGCACCATATCTACCTCAGTGATGAGAACTAAAGAGAGATTTTCTGTGGGAAGGGCAGTGGGAAGAGAGATTTGGTGAACCAAAAAAGTCTTTGATCACTTATGTTAGCAAGGTGTTTGGATAGTAGGAGGCTTGATATCTTATCCAGGCCCCTCTTATGTCCCGTGCTTCCACATGCGTAGATACATATGTTTGAGTTTCTATACATGTAACTTTTAGTTGCAAGAACATTCATATAATTAACCCTTTAAGGTTGACTTCACTGTTTATCGTAGCTATTTTCCTCTGATATTCTTGGAAGTGTATTTGTCATATAGTGATTTTCATTACAAGAAGCTGTTTCATGCTTATCGAAGCAAAAAGGAAACACACAAATAAGAAAACAAAAACGACGTCCAAACTTATCAGTGAAGGAGTGGCAACTCCATGAATTTCTTGAACAATGTTATACCTTTAGAAAGCTCTCACTTGAATTATGCTTTGATTTATCCAGGTCGTTCAAGATATTCCCCCGCCGATTTCTTTTGACATTCCAATGGTTCTTATAAAGCCTCCGCAGGCATGTTCAACGGCTGAAGTTTACAAGGTAGTATTGGTCTAAAGTTGGTAAACAAGTTAAACAGGTAATAATAATGCCTTGGCCTTCTCTCTAAGTACAATTTTTGATTTGTCAGCGCCTTCGGTTAGATCAAACTAGTAAGATTGACCCTTCAACCTTGCTGGAGAAGATCTCTAGAAATGGAATATCTCAAGATGTTTGTGTCAATGATTTGGGTATGAATTCACAACCGATTATCAATATGCCTTCTACATGTTTGTTCTTTTTCGATATTTGATTACATTGGGGAGGTTAAAGGGCAGGTTAATCGAGTAGCCCTCCCAGCATTTATGGCTGTGTTTGATACATCTATAAATGGGCTCGGTTCTGGTTAGGATGGTAACCTGACCAAAATTAAATGCAGTATCAGTTCTATTATCCTCTAATATTTTCTGGATCGTCAACAGCAGTATTCATCCCCCCCTTTGACTGTGTCCGTAGTCCAAGTTTGTAATAATTTGGTTGAGTTTTCAAAACTTGTTTTTGTTGAAAACTTAGAAATTCATTTGACAAAAATAAACACCAAGATAAATAAATAAATAAATAAAAAAAATTTCCACCCCAAAAAAGAGAACCATATGAAAATAATGCCCTTTTACTTTTTCATTTTTTCACCAAATTAGATTTCAAATTTTTTTTAGAATCCAGAATCTGAAAACTCAACCAAACAGAGTATTTGGAACCTTTTTTTTATGAACTTATCCTTCAGTTGGGCTGATTGAGTTCAATTACTGTTAGAGTAGGTTTGGCACTTTGACAATACCATCTCACTCCAAGGTCCAGTCATTTGACATGATTTCATGTGGTCTTGCAGAACCTCCTGCATTTGAAGTGCTTCCATCTCTAAAAAGATTAAAGCAACGCTTTGTTGCTGCAAGCCGTGGTCAATACGATGCTGTTTTCATGTCTGGAAGGTACGAAGGCATTTTTGAAAAGCCTGTTAGAAATGCTAATTTCCAGTCTTTATTTAGAACATGACGAAGAATATTTGTACTGTTCACACTTGTAAGAACAAGATAGAAAACACTGTAAGTTGTCCTTAATGCTCATTTGTATTTTGTGGTGGTGTTGAATATTGTTTTTCCTATTTTTTCCTTCATTTTCCTATGTATATATATATATATATATATACATGTATATGTTTGCATGACTCTGTATTCTCAATGTGTTTGATGCAGTGGAAGCACTATAGTTGGGATTGGTTCTCCGGACCCCCCACAATTTGTTTATGACGATGATGAATACAAAGATGTATTTTTGTCAGGTAAGCCACACGGGACTGTGCCCATGTTATTTTTCCAATTTGCATCTGGCAGCCAATTAGTTTTGGATTTCCTCAACCGAAGACAATCTCAATAACCATGAATGAGTTTTTATTTTAATCTTTTTAATGAAATGACATTAATATTTTGCACATTGGATGAGATCACTTATGGAGGCTAGCATTTGCAACAATTTAAATCATGCACTAGGATATGTACCTCACAAGTTAACCATCATTTGGAGGACTTTGAAGCCTTACTTACCTCAGATCCTCATAGGTAAGTAGTGAGTGCATGCCCAAATTGTACAATTTGGTTTACCATAAAAGTCGAAAGTGAGTGACTTCAGCGGAACTATACTCATAAAGTTGGGTTGACTTGACGGTTCGACGAATATGAGTGTTGTTAAGAGCTCCTCACAACACTGATTGAGTAAGGTTGTCCAAATACTGATTTGCAAACTCAGGAGAAAATGAGGGTTGTTAAGAGCTTTTCATAGTCCAAATACTGATTAGCTGCAGGAGTTTGGTTGGGTCGGGTCGACTTGACAGTTCTGATGAAGATGATTGTTGTTAAGAGCTCTTCATAACACTCAATTTTTCCCCGAGTTTGCAAACTCATAACAGTTCTGGTGAAGAGTCAAAGACGATCCAAACAAACAACACTCATTTCCCCTCGAGTTTGCAAATTTGATTGAATAAGGTCTCAACTCCCCACTCTGATCCCTTTATTTCTCAGGAGGCGGGGTCCCTGCGGTGGGTAATCCCCTGCCGTGCCTAAAATGGCACCGTTTAATCTTCCTTTTTTTTTTCTTTTTTTTTTTTTTGTTTCATGTTCTGACTTTATTTTTTGGCATGATAAATTACACTTGGCCCCAAACCTTAAACCCTAAAATAAAAATAAATAAATTTTAAGAATTAAACCCCAAACCTTAAACTCTAAAATAAAAAAAATAAATTCTATCCCTAAATCCTAAAATAAAAAAATATATATTTAAGAATTAAACCCTAAATCCTAAACTCTAAAATAAAAAAATAAATTTTAAGAATAAAAAAACCGAAACCTAAACCTTAAAATTAAAAAAATAAATTTTATACCTAAACCCTAAAATAAGATAAAAAAAATTAAGAATTAAACCCTAAATCCTAAAATAAAAAAAATAAAATTTATCCCTAAATCCTAAAATAAAATAAAAATAAATTTTAAAAACTAAACCCTATACTCTGAAACCTAAAATAAAAAAAATAAAATTTAAGAATTAGAGTAAAAAAGTGACCAACCAAACAAAAAAAAAAAAGAAGCAAATATACACAAAACGCTGCTGTTTCATTCCACAATAGGAAAAAAAAAGAAAAAAAAGAAGATTAAATGGTGCCGTTTTAGGCACAGCAAGCACGGCAGGGGATTACCCACCGCAGGGATCCCGCGTCCTATTTCTCAGCAGCTAAGAGCTCTTCATAGCCTTCCCAATCCCTTTCCGTCTGTGGCTCATCCTCATAGTCAAGTTTCAAAACCATAGTTAGGCCTTTGCCTTGAGGGATGAATCTCTGTTGTCATACTTCTCGGTCGTCACCATGATGAGATCCTCAAAAGTACATGTTACACATGTTCACTTAGGCCCGTTTGGGGACTTACCTTTTTAGCCAATTAATCAAAAAGTTACTAAATTAGTTAAAAAGTCAACAACTCATACCAAAAAGTTAAAGATTCTCTTTTCTCTTTACTTTTTGCACATCTTTTCATAATTAGTTAAAAAGTCATCCCAAACATACAAATTTTTTTTACCTACATTTTTAGCCAAATAGCCAAAAAATTATTAAATTAGCCTGTTCCCAAACGAGGCATTAACTTCATTTCATATGAATACGTTTTGTTTTATTGGCAGAAGCCAGTTTCATCACTCGTGCAGCTAATCAGTGGTATGCAGAACCCGTTTCAACAAGTGCTGGGACATTCGCAGATCAGTCGTTGCCAGTTGAGTAGTTCATCTTCTCGATGTTGATTGTCTCCCGTCGCATGTTATGATCTCTAACTAGTTCCATATCATGTTATGATCCCTAACTAGTTCCATATCGCTTGTTTCTGTATCCTTTTATTAATGTTGTCAATTTTTAAGAGTATTTGATTTTATAAATGTTGCCAATTTTGAAGTGTATTTGATTTTTTTTCACATTGGGGTGCTATATATAAAAGGGTGGGGGCATTATTACACAATTGATATATAAATATAAAAATTCATATGTATTTATTTGAATCAGTTATTTATGTAAGGCTAACATATTTTGTAATATATGTCGTGCATAATTTGGTTGTGAAAGTAAACTTGCCCATTATTTTGTAGTATACGAAAAACCATGAGAGAGAGACAGAGACAGAAACCAAATGGATTCTTAGATGCTTTTTTCCCCACTAAAGACTGACATAAACAGTCAACAACACAGCAGCATCACAAGAATCAACACCAACATCAAATTCAAACCACAATTTCTCGTCTTTCTTTCATTTTTCCCCCCTTCATTTTATTCTTTTCAATTCCACTGGCGCTCTCGCCCTAAAGGGAAGGAGAAGAAACAAACTGTCTGGGTAAACTGAAGATATCTTTCTCCTCAAAAGGAGAAGACCACTCCTGAGAACCGGCACTAGACATTTCAGCAGAACCAGCTCCACTGTCTTGCAATCCTGCAAGTGAGATGCCACCACCGTTGGCCAAACCAGGTCTCATGTTAGCCCTAGCACTCACTCCACTATATGAGTCGTATATATGATTGTTTTGCATTACAGAAGTCGTGCCATGCCATGTTCCATTTGACCTCGAGCTAGACAAACTTCGATCCAAAGTCCAGTCTATGTTGGTGTAATCTAACTGCAGCATTGACCCACCGGTGTTCCAGTCTACAGGAGATGATGACCCAGATGAGGCGTTCGAGCCCAACCCGGAAAAGAGTCCGAGAGAGGCAGCGGCTGAGATTGTCGGAGAAGTACCCGTTCTGTTCCACAACCCATTTCCGCGGGTTGCTCCTGGGGAATCCACCGAGCCACCATTGGGTACGAATTGCTGGTGTTGGTAATGAAGTTGGTTGTACAATTGACTCGAACCCAAGCCATTAGGAGCAACGTTTCTTGTGCTAGGAATATGAAGTGACAATCCATTAGGTTTTACTACTTCTACATTGTTTGGATACCAACCAGAGGCTGCTGCGGGAGGAGATGAGCTTATGCTACTGGTTGGGGCAGGCTTTGAATTTGCAGATTGGGGCCACTGCATCATTACGACTGGTTCTTTCACCGATCCCAGTTGAAGATTCTTCAATTCACTACCAAGCATTGCATATCGGGTTTCTATCTTGGCTGGTGGAGGTGTTACCTGCAAACGTGAAGCCAAAGAATACGAAACCGAAGGATTTGATGCCACGCTTGGACCCCTTTTGTCTGCTGCAGGCATAGCGATCTGTTGTGGTTTTGCCCAATCCGATTTAGACACTACTTTCCTCGGAGCCTGCACAATTTTGACCCCTGATTCCACAGGTACTCTGATTGCAACTGCTGCTTTTGTGTAATTGAAATCTTTTTCATCCCTTCTTTGTTGTATGGTAGAAGATGGATTGGGTTTTGTTTGAACTGTCAATGGATTCTGATTAGCCGATACTGAAAGCTTGCCATTGCTGAGAGTTGGCAGATCATCGGTTTCTTCTGGCTTCGGTGAGGAAGAGGGAGGGTCTTGCTTCTGCGCTCTCAAGGTTTCTGCTGCCTTCTCAAGATCACCTTCGCAGGCAACGATAGCTCTTTCAACCTCCTGCCTCAAGCACTTAAACCTAATCTCCATGTCTGCAATGTGAGCTAGTTCCTCTGAAATGTCAATTTTCAGACTACCCCCGTCAAGGTTATGTTCCTTGTGCTCATCTGATTCTTCAACCCCTTCGAATAGCCATGAAACTGAATCCTCTATTTTGCCTTCATTCAAAATAAGAGCCATCGTTGCCCGTTCTGAAGAAAATCCCATTGAAACGAGCTGTTGGGCAAGTGCTTCCAACTTTCTTGACATGAGAAAGCCGGTACACCGCTCGTGCAATTCCTGAGCTCGCCTCTCTTTTTGACGCTGATGCTTCTTCTCATTCTTTTGACGGGTTTTTTCACGTTTATCATTTTCAGCTCCTGGTATGGCCTCCTGAGGGGGAGGATGATTAGGCGTTTTCTCTTTATGGTCTTCTGACTCACCAGACCAGCTACCATTGTTTGAAACCGTATCATACTCTGTCCCGGTTCCAATTGAGTTCCCACAATGGTCATCTGACTCATCTATATTCCTGAAACGGCTGTTGTTTATGTGAACAGGAGAAGCAGACAATGGTGCCACCTCAAGTGTGTGAAATTTTCCTAAAAGCGGATTGTAACCACTGACTGGAATACCACTACCTGCATTAGCATGTCCTGAAGACTTGGAAGCTGCCTTCTGTGGTTCCTTGCCAGCCTTTTTGTCCTTGGACTTTGATTTGGATGCTGGAGACATGTCCTTGAAATCAAATTGTAATCTGCAATGTTTAAGATTATATTTTAGTTCTCAGTTATTGACAAAATAGGACCATAGGAGCAACCCATGCACAAATAACTTCAAGATAACGATCAACTACTCAGTTCTCACAAAAACACTGATATCATATATATACCCTAAGCCTTTGTGATGTTAATGAGGCATACAACCAAGAAAACAGAATTGTGTATGCGAGAGTGAGAATGAAAACAGAGGGGGAAGGGAAGAAGATGAGAGGAGGACAGAAAGATTGGTGCCATCTACATTAACAATTGTCAAAAAATGAGAGCATACAAGGCTGATAAGAGGTAAAAAGATTGCTTCTTTTAAAGTCAATGTATTATATGAACTATACAAAATTGATATAATGCAGCAAAGATACCCTGCAACAACCGTATAAGAAGTTTTCTTCAAAACAAGAAGTTCCTACAGACTCCATCAAATAAAGAATCATATCGTGAATCGAAATCTTATTTTTGCAAATCTTGAATCAAGTCAAATTGAAAATTGTAAGATTTAGTATAAACTACAAAAAATTATATTAAGCAATTCCTATATATAAAAAGAAATAAAATAAATCGAATTTGACACATATAACATATACCAGTTCTTATATAAGGACATGATTTTAGAAATCTAATTCCAACCTCATCCAATCAGGAAGACATTTGTCTTCGTCACAAGAGATGTGAGTCCAAATCCTACAATAGGTATATGGGTCTAGCCCTAAAACATGGCACCTCTTGAACGTGCCATACCATCCACTACATCACTTCTCCACAAGCCTTGCATACTAGTGTCATCTCCAACCAATGGACATGTGAGCCAATCAAAGTCAAGCACCTCAATTGTGCTTGGCCTCATCAAGTTCGCCTGCACCTCGGCCTAGCTCACTTAGTTGCTCTCACCCAGACTTCGCGCCTCGATGATTATATCACACCTAATCTAAAATGCACTCACATGCCCACCTACCCTGTGTCCACATATGATATGTCCCACAAGGCCCCATCAAAGTTAACCCTATTCCTCTCCGTTTTGCCTAGCCAAAAATATCACACTGAACCTGGCTCCCTTTGGCTTGCCATCTTATATGAAAGGGACCTTCACCCAGTCCATGCCACAACTACCTTGCTCTGTGATGCACCGGGTCTCCATTGCCACCCTCTCTCTTTCTCTCTCCCCCAAGGTTATCCTTGGCTCTCCTCTCTCCCACCAATGGTGGTTACCAACCATACCAGAGCCTGACATCATTCAAAAGGGTTCTTAGCCAGCTCAACCCCACTTGCCACACCTAACAACAATAAGATTCTTTAAAAACCATAGGATCTTCTCTTTCTACATTCAAAAAATGAACCTAAAAACCTTAAAGTTTAAACATTAAACACTTTAAAAGGTATCATGTATACCCATTGTTCACAAAAAATAGTTCTGGAATCATTGAGTCCAATTGAGCCAACTCATATCATCTTGAACTATGTTTATTTCACAAAATTAGCAATAGATAATTCATGGGTACCAGTTATAAAAGATGTATTTAAAAGGGGTTAAGATCATTTTAACGAGTCTAACTGGATCCTATTAGATCCTCTAATTACAACAAAGAATAACAAATCATGCATAAATAGTAGTTATTTTCACACTAAACTTTCTTATAACTTTTATTCTAGCATTTTCACACTAAACACTCTTAAAATTCGTCGTTGATTCTATATCAAAATAAATTCACATTGATCTATGCATAATTGTTAATTGAATTGTGAATCATAAGAGTCTGACAACTATAATACAAACAGAGAAGCTATAGAACAAAGGAGTGATAAAAATTGGCACTTGAATCATTGACCAAACATTTTCTTTCCTCAAGCTAATCAGTATCAACATGGCAAACAAGTTGGACAAATAATTTAGAACTCAAAAAATGTAATATCTTTTATTCCACAAAGCAATTGAAACCTGACTATGAAGCAACAAATCAAATTTCTACAACAAAGGTTTCAGGGGGTTTTACCTACTCAGCCAAAGCAAGCTTTCATTCTGAATTCTTTAATTTAGAATGAATCAAATCTCCCCAAGTAGGATTCAAACTTACGATCAATATTATTTACCTGAAAAGTGCTACAAAAGCACAATGGAAACTTCCAATACCATATTTCTAGAGACAATATAAAATAACAACAGAGCCTACAACCAATTTATAACACAAAACTAAAATAACAACCCGTATCTCTCTCACACAAACAGACATCTAGTTTTATCCTAGTTAGTTACATCAGTTGTTGATTTTGCTGCACCACTAAATTCGCCCATTTTGAAACAGGATAATACAGATCTGCCCAACTAGATTACATACCTACAGTGTACGAAATGCCACCTTGTACTCAGTTGTTAACTACAAAATTTTTAAAACAACCTAAGGTCCGTCAAATGAAAGTAAAACATTACTAACTTAACTAACAATTAACCAACATTCTACAATCTTGACCCAAAAAAATAAAAGAAACTACCACATTATATCAGGTAAAATTCTCAGTCTAATTTGTTGCATGAACTGGTCAACCGCTCAACCCACTACAATAAAGAAATCTGAATCAATTTTCCTGCATGTGGGGAATTTTCCACAAAAAAATATATAATCTGTAGTACATGGATTCTTCGTAAACTAAAATGTACAAAAAAGGAATACCTCCCTTATTATCAGAGAGAAAATTGGTATTGTGCTTCTTATTACTGGTAGACAAATTATTCATCCAAACGCATCTTCCCTTTTTCTTTTTTCTTTTTTTTTGTGTGTGTGTGTGTGTGTGTTTATGAAACCCAAAAAATAAAAATAAAAATAAAAACGACCCATAAATCCTACATCAAAGAAAACCAATTTGGGTGGAAAATTCATATATCAGAACAACAGGCAGCCCCAGTCATTCTGAAGCAACATTCTCTATGTAAAAATGGTAATAAACGAAAACCTATCAAGTTCCTGACTAAAACTCTTATCCTCCATGTATTTGGAATCAAACAAAACCACATATAAAACAATTGAAGCAACAAATAAATAAATAAAAACAAAAATTCAGAATAAGAATCGCCAAATTCAGAAAACGAATTCGAATCCCTAAACATCACATCAAAAAATCTTTCCAAAATTAAAACACGATATCGAAATGAATCATCAGAATAGAGAGAGAGAGAGAGAGAGAGAGAGAGAGGCTTTACCGGTTGCGGAGAAGGGCGAGAGAGAGGGGAGGGATCGATTGGAGCGATCGCGATTGTGTTGCAGAGGAGAAGATGCAGATTGGGGTTGGGTTCCAGAGAGAGAGAGAGAGAGATATGTATTGTGTATTGTTGCGAGGCAAAAAACTGGATCGACGGAATTAGGGTTTTTCTCTCCAGGATCGATTTCGATTTTTGATACAACAAAGTGGGTCAAAATAACGGAAGTTTCGACGCCGTCGGCTTTCTCTCTCCTGAATTTTGGTCGTTTCTCCCTCTACAAATATTTTTCTCTTTTTTTTTGTGATTTTTTTAATATTATATGTAATTTTTTTTTATTTTTTAAATACACTTAAAATTTAATATTTATAATAAATATATTTTAAAATTTTATTAAATACAAAAATATTTATATAAATTCAGTATATTTTCATATTTTTATGTACTTGTTGATTTTTTATATTTTTTAATAAATATTTTACTTTTAAAGTGTCTTTAGATACATTTAATATATAAAATATTTAAGAGAAAATTTGTGATAAATCCAAACTAGAGAGTCTCTAAGTTATTAAGTCCAATGAATATTTTTTATTACTGAGAGATCTACTCTTTGTAAAATAGTTTAGTGAGAAGTCTTTTTGTTAGTTTTGAAGAATAATTTGTTTTAATTTAATCCCTTAACTTACCTATTGAATTTTTTTTATCTGTTAACTTTTCATTAACTATTTGTTCAAATTTATATCTATCTGTTGAAATTTTTTTCTATCTGTTCAATTTTTTTTGTTTATCTATTGAAATTCTTGCCTTATTTTTTTGTCTATCTATGTCATAACTTTATTGTTTATCTGTTGCAATCATCAACATCATCAACAACAATAATAAAGAAAAAAAATATATGATATGTTGAAACCTTATCAACATCAACAGCAACAACAATATCAAATAAAGAAAAAATGTCTGATCTGTTAAAACCAAGCCAAAACAGATCTTACACTCCAAAAATTATCCATTATCTGTTTGAGAACAATCTGTTTATGTCAAAAAAAATTAATTGTAGCAATCATTATCAACAATAACAAAACAAAGAAAAAATATAAATTTTTTACCTGTTTCAATCATCAATCCAAATTTTGCTAAAAAAAATGTTAAATGAAAACAAATGATCTCCATGATCGTAAACCTAAATCTCATAAAACGAAATCACACAATTGGCTCTTTCTTTCATTTTCAAACAGTTAATCAGTCATATACTAGATCTAAAAATAAAATAAAATAGATAACCATACATACACGATTTGAACAGATAAACCACACATACTCCAATAGATTTGTTGGAATTCCAAAAAAATCTAAGATCTAATGAGTGATATATATAGAGAGAAAGAGATTTAATTAAAGAGAGAGAGAGATAAAAAGATGATGGAGTTAAGGAGGGGATTGAGGCTACTATACTTCAATTCAGTGCAGTACTTCAGTGTTGTCTCGGTCTTGTCGAGCGTTTCCATAGCAGCAGAGGCCTGAATTGCGCAACGATGGGAGGTAAGGTGACGGGGGAGGGAGGAAGAGGTGTTATCTGAGGCGGAAAGAGAGAGAAAGTGGTTAAGCCATGAGGCTAAGTGGTGGAGTGATCATCTGAACTTCATTTTCTCCGCCAAAAATCTGATAAGCGAGAGAGAGAGAGAGAGATCGTGTCTGACAGGCGACGGCGACATCGGTGACATCGTTGGTGGCTATGGTAGCTCGGCATCAAAGATGAAGAAAATGAACACGAGAGAAGAGCGCTGCAGGAGACACTATTTGGTTAGGGTTTGGTTTGATTTGGGAACAATATATTTACCTGCACAATTTGGTCATTTTGCAGAATCATGTCCTTATAGACATACTATTTATGCGCATGGACTGTTGAGTGCCCAATATTTAGAAGAAAATACTAACAATTTAAAATATAAAAAATAAAAAACTTAAGTTTTAAAAAATCAATAAAAACAAACATCGTGAATATGAATTGGGTACTTTCCAATATTTGTTATTACCGTATGGGTAATTGTACTGTTAGTTGGGTTAAGCTAAGCCCAATTATTACCATATCAGTAATTGTACCTTTAGTTGAGTTAGTAGTGCCTTGTTAAGTTGTTAATATGTTTCTTAATAGAACATGTTAAGAAAGTAATAAATAATTTTAAGTTCTTCCATCTATGTAAATAGAAAATATAAAAGTAAAAGGAAAATTAATTATCATTGTTTTTAAGAACTTTTTTTTTATATGGACGTAAGTACCCTTATTTTTATAAGACATAAATTCTTTAATTTTTTATAATTTGTATTTTGGATTTATTTTTAAAAATTATAAATTAGTTTGACAATATATATATATATAAATATATTTTAATTTTTAAATATTATTTTATGTTCTAAAATGTGAAAATAATTAGTATTTGATTATTTTTTTACAAAAATCACCAATCTAAATTTTAATTTTTTTTATAAAAATAATATAAACATCAAATTTGAAGGAAAGTGAAAAGGCATACAAAAATAAAGGAGGAGAAGGATGCAAAGCTTAGTTAAAAAAAAAAAAAAGGAAAAGAAAAAAGAGTAGGGTGCAAAGCAAAAGGGTATCTTGGCCTTATTATAAATATAAAAAAAAGTTAAGACAACTTTTAAAGTTGTGTTATTTTCTAAATGCTTTCATTTAATGTCTTTTTAACATATACACTTCGGTGATGCTACATGTACCAATTAGTGTATTAATTAATGCTAAAAGCAAGCATGATTGAATAGTTGTGCTTATCTGGTTGTACTGTCATGACCCGAACCCGATCCCATGAATTAAGGTTATAACCAGCCAGTAATCAAGAGATTACCTACGATCTCAATTCAAATAAAACATATTTGGTCAGAGTTAAGGGGCCAAAACGGAAGCAAACTTAAATCTTTTGTCCATAGAACTGTGCTTACATGGCATATCACAACATTTCACATATATTCATTAATAACCCACATTCAAGAAGGTTAAAATATAAGCTTTACACAACAGGATCATTCAAGTCATAGACAGCCAAACCAAAAGCTTATACACAAAGGTGATCCAAAGTTTTCGCCAACATAACAAAAATATAACAAAATAACAAAAGGGCGAAAACAAGTCTCGTGCGTGAGACGTATGGGCTGACTCCTCGAAACTTTGACCGTTTCTCACATACTTCACTGGGGCTGGGTTTGGACATCTCTTGGCTCACTTATAGACACATGAATGAGAGTGAGCGAAAGCCTAGTGAATAATATCAAATAAAGAAGATACATGAACGAAATTTGAAATAGATGTATCGGACGGCCTTGGGCCCAATTCATGTTTCTATCTAGTGTATCAAATGACTATAAATCTAGACGTATCAAACGGCCTAGGGTCCAATTCATTCGCATCAAATGGCCTTTGGCCCATTCATTGGTATCAAACAGCCTTTGGCCCAATCATTCATATCCAACGACCTTTGGTCCAATCATTCATGTCAAACGGCCTTTGGCCCAATCACACATATCCAACGGCCTTTGGCCCAATCATTCATGTCCGACAGCCTTTGGTCTAATCATTCACATCCAACGGCCTTTGGCCCAATTGTATGGTATAACAAATATTGTCCACCTTTCAGATTAACAAGCTTATGAAACTCAAATAGGAGTAAATAATTGGACAAATAACATACTTCATAATATCTTTATTAAGATATTACTCACAGTGTTCTGTTGGTGGATTCGTCCTTGTGCTCGACCCTACATAAATCATAACACATAATGGGTCACAAGCAATTCAATCCGTTCTTAATTTATTTATTCCTCTTAGGCCACTTTCTTATCTTCTTAATCCATTCACAATGCTCAATGCATGCCTAAGAGTGCTTAGAAATGAAAAATAACGGAAAATGAAACACCAAACGTCTATTCAAAATTTCAGAAATAGGGCTCCTCGCTTGAGCGGACTCCATTTGTCTGCAAAAGTACTGGTTGCCTCAATTTTGCGCTCGAGCGTGACTTCGGACGCTTGAGCTGAGGGTCGAAACATGTGACTAACGCTCAAGCGTGAATCTCCCCGCTCGAGCGGACATCAATGTCTGCAAAAGTTCTGGGAGCTAACATTTTACGCTCGAACGGCGCTTTCCCCGCTCGAGCGGACATGTCAAATTCTGGAATTTTCAGAATTGTTCTTGGAGTTCAAACTTGGTGTTCAAAGGCCTTAAACTCATGATTTTGGTTTGAAAACATGGAAACACATTATATAATATGAGACCAAATTGTTCAAATTCATTGTCCTTTTTCCAAGATCATTTTGAGTTCTCTTCATGGGTTTCAAAACACATATATTGAACTTCATACAAACCCTATATCTTCATCAATCATGCATGCATGTACATTCTTGACTCCAACTCTATTCCAAATGGTACAAATAACACTCATAATCATGAAACTCATGAAAATCATGCATGCATGTGAGATTTGGTGCTTAATTCTTCTTGTTCAACATGATTATTGTTTGAATGTATGAAATCATGGGAATTATGCACATGCATGTACATACAATCTCCAAATTCATCAGTTTCAACTCAAATCATGTTCTTGATTATCATCTAGCTTGAATTCACAAAATTGCAACCCCAAACTTATGAACCCATGTTCAATTACTCACCTAGGAGCTCCAATCACCCAAATTATGGTTAATTCTTGAGTTGATCTTCAAGATCTTCAAGCTTCTTGTTCAATCTCTAACTTGATCTCCCTCTTTCTCTCTCTACAATCGGTACACTCTCTCTCTCTAGAGGGTAATCTCAGTAAATATGAGCTCAAAACAATAACATGAGGCTATACAGGCCCTTATATAGGATGGCCTAATCAAATTTGATTTAGGCTAAGTAATAGAGCTTAATTTAATCGTTCTGAATCTAATTATTTCGTTCCGAATCAATTTTCAATTAAATTTCACCACAGGCTCTAAAAATTACGCCAATCACAATGGCGTAGTCAATTTCAGTTTCTGTGGTCGATAAGGCCTTCAATTTTCAGTTTATAACAGTAAGTTGAACAGATTTTCCTACGGTGAACAGATATAAAGCAAAAACCACATATAATCATATAAATAGCACCCAAAATTATATTAAACATATAATCACAATCATAATTAAGATTAATTAGCATAATATGGAACAGGGTTGCCACATGTACCAACTTTATAGGTATATGTGCAAACTTGTTCATGTCTCAT